TCTGAAAATAATATGATGTTTTAAATAATTTATGTGTAATATCTATCTTATCCTCGATACCTCATGAATTGAGCTGAAATAGTAGTAGGGTTAATTAGAGAAGCGTCGTCGCAGGTAAAAGAATAATGYTGTTGACGCAGCTACARCATACGGGAACATGGTCCACATTCCCTATTCAATTGCAAAAAATGTTAGCTTTMTTTGTATGGAAAATGATACCATGACCTAAGGTAGCAGATGCATTCTTACCACTACTGTATCAACAGTGGCAAGGGCAAACACAGGCTGTTCTCTCAATAAGAAGCCAATTCCGAGCTGAGTGACAGACAAAAATTGGAGGCATCAGATAACCAGCTATAAAGAGGACATCTCTACTATCATTGGGGTTAACATAATAGGAGCATGATGCCTTTATTTGATTCAAGTAATATGAAATAACAGAAAATCTCAKGTTYCTACACATGACATTTCAAGTCCACATAATTATAATGGTAATTTGTTATTGCTAATTAGCTCAGCAGATCATGTTAAAGGTTGCACCTGTGCATGCAAAATCTATTAATTAAGGGCGGCTCTATGTTGTACTCACAAGGTGACTGTTAAGTTTACGCTTYTGCCCTATTTCTTGCTCAGTATAAGCTAATTAAAGTTTCAGCTACTGATTATCATTCTATGCAGCTTCAACTWTTAGAATTATGGAAGGAAAAATAGTGGAATATCTAGAAAATAAAAGTTCAAGAACCTGAATCGGAAGAGTAATCAAGCCACCACAACAAACACCAGCAAAGAAACACTCAGGGGATATATCCTGCAATAAATGAGAAGCAAGGTTAGCCATAGATAGYTGTTGTATTTCAAGAGAAAGGARCTAGCAATAGAAAATCCAGTGATKTTACAAGTAAGGTTCTTTGAATCATCTTSGCCCTTTTCTTTGGCCTTTGAGGCAGTTTACACCCTTTCATAGCCATGAAGTCTTCTTCTTTCTCTTTGCTTGATAATGTGGTGAACAGTTTAGGCCAAACTGCCCTTTTGCTCTCTTTCTTTGTATCCACATTCAACACCTTCTTGCTGCTGCTGCTGCTGTCGTCAAATACGAGATTTAGGAGCAATTTAAGCTGAATTTGAGGTTAGTAATCAAGAAACGAGATGGGATTTCCATGGATAAACTTTGTTTTACCTATTGAGACGTTGAGGAGATGAAGCATGAAGAGAAGGAAGAGGATGATGAGAATCTTGTTCATTAACAACCCTTCGATCAACACGTTGA